CATATTATATAGCACTGCGGTTATGATTATGCCACACACTTGTTCTCGATCGGCTCCATAGAAACCCGATTGGAATTGATTTACGACAACAATATTGCATTTGGGATACGGATTACCAAACGCGCGATTGGATAGCCAAGTTAGGTATACACCTAATATTTATTTTTTTTTCTCACTGTGACGGCTGTATGGTAAAGGTAATGTGATTGGATATTGTTGCTGTTGCGTTGTAGGCGCGCACGTCGATTTCCCTCGGCCCGTTCGTATATGGTCTGGGGATTATTTACTCCGGTCCGTAGGTATACAATTTTATTGCTTTCCAAGTCCGGCGAGACCATTATTTCGCAATCGTTCGGCTTGTATGTATAAAGCTGCAGTAAAACGATGCTTTTAAACTTTCCGGTTGTCCTTTTTTGGCGCATTGTAATAATGAAATGCTCCTAATGTCCATATGACCATATCCAAACGATTATTTACCAGTCTATAACGGTCAAATAGGTATTGGCTCGAGCATTTGTTTCGGTGACAACGTTTGTTTATGATATTCATGATTTTTTCAGTAGGTACACCGATCGAGCGAAAAAAATACAAAACCGTCGAAGAATGCACAGACCGTATAATCGGTAAAAAAAAAAAAACAAGAATGAGTTATCTGAAGTCCTTTGAATGATAACAGAAACGAGTAGTGTGCGGCGGATAGCGGAAGCCGCAGTTGGAAAACAGTACATCCCGTTTAGTATATACATGTGGAACAAGAGCCTCTTTGAAGCCGGATGAGATAAGAACCAAAAAAAAGATCTGAAGAGTTTGTTTCAGGAACTCGATTTAGTAAGTGGCATCAAACGGTAACAGCTGATACATAAAATAGCAAAGTCATATCCAAACACTGTACATAAATAATTATGAAGAAGGTGATCATGGCGAAAATATCACGCTTGGAAAGATCACAGGAACACAAAAACATAGGCGACGGCAAAGAGTAAGCAGTTATTTGAACAGTAAATTATTAAAAATAAATATAAATGATGTATCATATAGCATACAGCTTAAAATGTTTTCTTACCTTGACATAGAAAAAACGATTTATGAAATCTCCATACTATTGTTTCTGAAGTGAAGTGATAATTTATCGATTTACCTCTAAAAGATTTGCATTTTTTTTCAATTAGAGTTAATTATAAGAGTTTTATTTTTTAAGAATAATAATTTAACCAAAACTTTAGAGTGTTTAATTCTATAAATGAAAATAAGTAATAAAAGTGTCAAAAATCCGAAGTCCCAACCTATGTAAATAAACTTTAGATTTTCTATTGTTTACTAAACAACAATTTTAGCATAACAAACAAATATTATGATAATTATAAAATAAGTAAGTTTTAAAAAATACATCGTCGAAGTAGGCGTGTAGCTGAAAATAGATTTGCATTATTTCTGAATTTAACAATATGATGGTGATGAATAAATTCCTCATTAGAAACCGGTAAAACAAAATAAAATCAAATATATTAATTATTAAAATATTTGGTATTCGCAATAGTTTAATATTCTATTAACACAATACTAATGAATTTGTTTTTTCTTACATATTTAAACTATGCTGTAATTATAGTTTTTGAATATTTAATTATTAATATTACTAGTAAATTACATTGGCCTAAAGTAGTTGTGCAAATTTATAAAAACGTGTTGAAATTCACCTTAAAAAAAACGAACAGAATTATTATTTATAAGCACAAAAATGTATTTTAATATTAATATTATGTTTAATCAAAACTTCTAAAATATTGTAATTTATTCGATATTACACATAATAATATACCCTAAAAATTATATTGTGTTTGTAATACAAAGAAATATTACATAACTTTGTAGTACAATTGTACGCTCTTGAGTAAGTGGTCTATTTCAAAACGGAATATTATAAGATGGTAAACAAAAAAATACTCAACAAATATATTACATTGTATAAATATTATATTATTCATACTTTAATGTTGATATTGATATTAACCAGTGTCTTAGAAAAACTTTTTATGCGTGTGTGGAAAAAATTAAGCGGTGGATGTGTAGGAGGATAATATGTGGGTTAAGAAAACAGCGAATGCATTTAGCGTCCGCTTGACAGCCTGAAGAGGAGATAACGAATTATGCTTAGCCATTTAGTAATGGTTGCTCATGTTAATTTCTAAAATATTTAATAGCTTCAGATAATATTCGTCGGTTACTATGTACCTATTACATATAGATTGAAACAGATAACATTTATGTTCACGTAAAAAAATAACTCTCTAAAAATAATTAATTATACTACAATAATTTACATACTAATTAATAATTACTTTCAGTTGTTGTATGTGTACCATAAAGGAGTAATTCTGTCTTTTTTTGTACATAGATTTTATTATTGTAGCTATTATAATTATTTTACAACAAATAAATAAAAAATTAATCATTATAATTATTTATTATTTTATGCAACTGATGATAATCTAATATTAATATTTATTTAAAACAATATTAATAAAAATACATTTTCCGTTTACAAATCGGTTAAGTATAATGATAATGTGTAATTTATTACCATAATACTGGTGACGTTTGAAACAAGTTATTTTTTTTTTTTAATATTTGATGATCTTGAAGCACTAATCATAAGAAAGGCCTTTGATTTTTTTTTTACTTAAACTTGAATTTTAGAAGTAAAAAAAATGTGTACTATGAAAAAGTATTCTACCGTTTATTTCTGACAGCTCAGTTTTATTTGTATTTTATAATCAATTTGTCACGTTTTTTTGTAGTGGATATAAGATATTAGCAGCTTGTGCATGTTGCGAACAAGATAGGCATGTATAACAAATATTACTGTCACGCGTTTTAAATACCAATGAGTAATGACACAGAATCTAAGTACATTTTACACTGTAGTTATTACCAAACACGGAAAAGCTATCATCGTTTTAAAACTATAATGCTAGCGCATTGCACTGAGACCAGAAGTAATTGTTTAACTTATTATCATTGTAAAACCAAAGCAATTAGTAGCCAAACGAATTGAACGACTACAGCTAGATTGTTTTATTATTGACATGTCAAAATGTGTTTGTGTGTGTAAATGTATAAATAGGCGTGAATACTCAATCTGCATACGTCCAATTATCTTTTTTATCGCCAGCATTTAGTCTAACAAACGCAAAATAATTTTACATCTATTACTCTGAAAAAGTGCGCAGTAAATAAAATGTATTATGTTTTTGTCATAAAATTCAATAAGTCCAAACGTTTATTACATTTCACTGTTATATCTCGACGTAATATGTATATGATCATTGATCACCGTTCAAAATAATAATTACCTACAATTAAATAATTGTACAACGTTACACACACACACATACTGTTTATTTAACTTTTAATATAATATTTTATCTGCAAAGAAGTCCACTTCCCATTAAAAATTTGACGCACACCTCGATGGACGGTGGACAAGAAAAATCAATGAAAATGCACGCAAACACATATTAAATAGTCAAAAATTATTATTTTTAATTAGGGTATAAGTTAAAAATGCTTAAATCAAATTAAATGTTGGCTGCTTTTATTGTTTAAATTTTGGTACAATAAGGAAGTGGGCGAACGTCTGAAAAAATTGCTTGAATCAACTAGATAGTAATAAATATGGTTTTTAAAAATATACGTCAAGACCTAAGCTAAAATAAAAATAACGGCGTAAAAAACTTATTTGATAAATAAGGGAAACGTGTGATGTAAATAAATAATTTTTGGAGCTACATAAACCGTGAAAACGAATCATTCAATTTTAGCCGCATAATTTTTCATTGTCATGTAAGTTGTTTTACGGTTTTGTACAATATTCTGTGTCAAAAAAAAAATGTATACACGGCACGATGAGTTTATTTAAATGAAGCGTCGCCGTAAAATATGTACATCACCTGCCAGCGTTTTCGAAGGTCATGGCTAATATGTGCGAATTTCAATAGGGGACCCTTATCTAAATGTTTAAATTGCGATAAACTTGTAATTGTACAAAAAGAAAAATAGATCAGAGGGTTATTTTTTTTTTTTTTTTAATAGGCGTATAATAATTATTGTTGTTATCCTTCATCGTGTAAAGTCCTTCAACAGTTACCATTTGTGTACATTTTTTTCCCCTCAATAATTGTGCGTTTCTTTTCACGCTAAAAATAGTAGTGTTTGAAAACAACAGCTAACAAACGCGTCGTTACTTGTGGGCATTTTATCCAAGTCCTACCTAGTATCGTTTTCCGTAAACTCTGCGATGGCTTATAATGGTAACGTTTAACGCCATACAAGATACATATTTTTTTTTACATTTTAAAAATAAAACATTGCCAAACCACGAGTGTCCGTCCAGTTATTTGCCCGTGGCAAACGGCTTCTCCTATCAACAGTTAGGTTCGTTATCATTAGCGTAACTAACGAGTTTAGAAGGATGTGAACTTCTTCAGCTGCCCTCTAGTCATCAGAGGGGAGCATTGGGATAGTAAAACCCCGAAAAGCTTAAAATAAGCGCTATTCAAAACACCTACGTTTATTTTTTTAAGGTTTCTAAAATTCCAACCCCCCTCCCCCTGATCTCCGCCAATGTTGGAATGTAATTTCGACATAATATCAATACATATATATTAGGTAGTACACACTCGCCGGCGGCATCCGTTCATGACCGACCCGGCTGCTCGTGGACGGCGGTCGTCCCAACAGGAGGATATATTTGGGTTAAACGGGTCGTGTGTGTTATTATTATTATTATTGTTACTACTTTAAGAGAGGGTACGGCCTGAATTTTACTACTGCGAGTGTACATATCTCTACCTACCGTTGGCGGTATATTACAATATATTGAAATAATAATATAGGTATATTACATGCGTGTGTGCGCGCGCGCGCGTCTGTGTAAATGGCCAAGAGGGACTGGTTGTGGTGCGGTGAAAGAGTGTGCCGTGGTGCGGTGTGCAGTGAGTGTGCATCGCCAGCAGATACACAACAGTCGCGCTAATACCGACAACCGGCCGAGTGCGTCCCAAACCCGAAACGATTGCGGCGCGTTTATTGTCTTTTTGTTCTCTATTTGTTTGAAAATATTCTTCTTTTCACGCCCGTAACGGGGCTCAAAATAATGCGTATCGCCGTCTCGTGTTCGGCGTCGTTGTCTGGGTAAATAGCGCGGTTCGTTTTGTGTCATGGTGTTATGTCGTTTGATAAGGTCGTCGCCGCCGCAGCTGCTGACAATCACTATCCGTCCACGGCATTATGGATACGAGCCCGAAAGCACTGTACGATGCAAAAAACGTAAGTCGCACGTCCATCGATTTTACACGGCTGATTATTTCCTATATTTTTTTTTTGTACCGTAAGTGTAACACGCCGAATTCGGATGATAACGCGAGGAATTTGATAACAGTCCTCGTCGTCGGGTTTCGGGTTTCCCCCAAAAAACCGGTTGGTTCCGGTGACGCTCTCTCGTCACGTGCCGTCGTCCTAAATAAAATATCCCGGTCCGTGTGCTTGTAATATTGTTATTCTCGACGCGTGTACTCTTTTGGATGTACAATTTCTCTCTTCCGTCTGTGCAATATTATTATTAATTATTTTGTTGGTGCACAGCATTACCGCCACAGCTAGAGCTGTGGCGGTAATGAAACTACAGGGGACACGGCTCGAGAACTATTGTAATCATTGCGGACCGTTCCGGTTTTACCGAGTTCGGCGAGCGATTATAAAATAATACTGCTGGAAGGCGGCGGCGGCGGAGACCTCGTGCACGTTCTTCGGTTTCGTACCGTCGTGTGTAGGTACATTCCTGACTGGCTCGGGCGCAGCCACGGCCGGTGGAAATGGCGATCCGGGTTACACCTGTTAGGCTGTGTAGCTGTGATGCTATTCAGCCAGTATGTCTTCGACCAGCGATTGTCGTGTACCTAAACGTGCAAAACGTTGATGTTATAGTGAAGAGCGGTCAAACCAATATTTTAAAAACCCACGACATATTTTATGCATAGGATTTTCGAGAAACCTAATCGTGTGTGAAATATGTGTTATCATTTCGGTTATAATTATTTTTCTCGGGACAGATGACGTCGCGGTACATGAATTGGTCTCTCGACCAAGCAAACAGATCGTTTGTTTCAAAACTATTGTCAGCTATCGTAACGACGTTATCGACTTAAGAAAACTTACGTGGAAGGGCAAACGAGTTTACTCGTTAAATAATTTACAAACAATACTAACTTGATAAGATTATTCGTATACTTAACAAGGTATCCCGAAGCGTTTCAATTGTTACTACATCAATAGCTGAATAGAATTGTTGCCATCGTAGTCGCTCTTGTTTAAGTAATTGAGGATTACTAGTCTTTGATAACATATAAATCTTGTGGGGCAGGCATCGTCAAATGACTGTCCCGGACTAAATTTATCTGACCTGCAAACAAAACTGTTTTGCCTTTTTACTTGCTTTGGTTAAATATGTATATTAACATTTGAACAATTCTTATTGTGGCCTTCCAAAAATATTAATTGATGACCCCCGTTGTAGGGCATAACAAAATAATATATCTAGAACCGTTGACTTTAGAATAACTGTATGACTTAGCGGTATAAGTTACCCGCTGGAATTGTGAACTAATTACTGGGCAAGCTTTAAAGACGCTACTAATAATACATCGGGAGTACTTAACCAGGATAAGAAGAAAATGGGAACGCTACATGCAGTGTACTGTATTGACCTATTTAATTAAACTACCAAAAATAGGTTTCTACGAATAAGGACGCTTTTCATCGCGTTCTAGCAAAAATTATAAATTATTACAAAATGTAATATAATATTCAACAGTAGTTTGTTTTCAAAATAAATGTTTCTAGTTTTTTTTATTAAAACTTTAATATCTTGGAAGTGTGTATGTTGGAAATGTAAAGTATATTTCTAATTTTTCAACCAACTCGAAACAATCAATAACCGACTTCACTTCTTCTCTACTGTAATAAAAAGGCCTACCTATCATTTTCAGTAATAATAATACGATATCTCTGAAATTGACAGAAAGGTTTTCATGCATGTATACAAATCCAATATTTTTTCATGTAATATCATATCGCAACATCATCGACAGCTTTTTGTTTGCTGAAAATGTCAATAAGTTAAGATGTATTTTATATTATTATGAAACTCTATACTATAAAAACAACGGTACATTACTCTATTTTTAACTCCACTAATAGCATCTGACTTACATTTATTAAAAAAAAGTACAAAATAAGATGGCTTCCTAATTCATACTAATTATGTCGTTGTAATTCCTATGTTATGGAGTTATTGCCAATGAAATGTTCAAAGATTGATCTTTATTTTTCATTAAACATCCTAATTTACAACATTTTTTATACGCAATAACATATCTGAAAACATTTAAGTTTCTTCGGAAAAGACTCGGACTAAGTATTATGAAATTATGAGTATTTTTATGATGACATTGAAATTGGATTGGTTTTCAATTGATAACTTTACAGTTGTTTTCATCCTGAATGAAGTTCAAAAACCGATTGTCATTCCTTTTTAATTATAACAGTTTGAGGAAGCGTTTTATCGTTATCGTTAACTTTCAATATAAATTGTGAAAATATGAATAAGAATACTCTATTACACTAAGAAGACTGGGGAAAAAAAAAATGATAAAAGGAATGCGCACTTAGCTGACAAGACGGTAGAAAACAATTTGCGATGGTGATGGTGATGAATATAAAAGGAAAAATAGGTCGCAGAAGGACCCGAAAAGATGACGGCCAGAGGCAGTTCAGACGATAACGAGAACTGATGTTGTTTGTGCGACCGTAAAAGGGTTTGGGAGAGCGTTTCGAGGTGTTGTTGAAATCGCCGGAAGAAGATACCAAATTTCTCGTCTTTGATGGTTTATCTACCTGCCATGGCTTCGCGGTCGAGTAATGTGAAATGCAAACGAGAGTTATCACAGTGCTGCGGTTGTCCATTGACGAAAAACGTTTGTGGAAAATACAATGCGTGACGTAACGTCCGCAGTCGGCGCAACACTTGTTTTAAAATGGGCAAACGAGTTTTCAAGGCGACTGCAGTGAAAATACCGAACGCCTATACAAAGTGGAATGTTGTGTTTAGTGGGCGGATATTGTGGTAATTGGGCCGGCTGATCGAGTTACGTTAAAAAAATAACAAAATATAATCGATAACACCGTTTTCTTTCGCCCCGACGCTAAAACATTACCATTGCTTTTAAGAATAACAAAACAAAAAATGATCGGAATGCCTGGTGCTCGGTGACTTCAGTCACTAGCGGGTTTGCATAGTATTATTATAATATACGATTTCTAGCTGCAACTACAAACGGTTGCCGGACATCGTGTACTCGGCGTGTGGGTACGTTGAAAGTGCAATATCTAATGGTAATTTAACCGAGAAGGAGTTGTGCGTGTAGACAATTCGGACTTGACCTATTTTCCGCAGGTATAGAGCCCAACCCTGGGCCTCGGATACGTGCAGAAATTGCTAAGTCGTTAGGGATTATATTTTTCCGCTTTGCCGGAAAACTTCAATTGCTGTCGACCGCGGAAAATACCCGCTTATACCTATGGTTGACCGTGACGAGGACGGGGACGTTCCGTTTGAGAGTTTTTAAGTCATAAGCAAGGCGAAACGGACCACAACCCTTTGGCTGTGGTGTTACTCGCGGTTATTGCGTATATCCACTCAATTTGGCAGATAGTTTTTTTACAGCCACCATAGCGATTACCATAAATTCCCCAATGGTGGTGGTACTTGCGGTTTAATATTATATCGTGTGTACTAGAGCCTCTGTGCGATTTGGCCGATAATGGGAAAAAAAAATCATTAGCATACTCAGCAGACGCGTTGCGTTCAGGCCGAACAAACATTTGCGGAATGTTCATCAAAAAAGTTATCCTCGTTACCTACCGACCTACTAAACGTTGGGATATCATTTTTTTTTTTATAAAAAAACTATGTTAGCGTAGCTACATGAACAATAATACTCAAATATATTTTTTTTTTTACTTCTATAATCCTAGTCTTGTATAGGGTGTACAAGATTTCTAGTTGATCCAATGTTCTGCGATACGTCCCAATGGTCGACTATTTCTTAAAGAGTTCAAAATTAATGGTAATTAACCGATTTCTGACCGTTTTCAATATGAAATCATTGCTTTACATATTTTGCCGTTCGGAGAGGGGGGAAACTAAAATCTGGTGTTCGACTAAATGCTACTTTAACAAAATACTTGATTTATTTGTTTCGTCAGATGCAACGAAAAGGCCTTAATAAGTTCAGTATGTCGATTATTTTAAAGCCTCTTGGTTTCGACTCGTCTGCATAGAATTTCGGGTCATCGAAATAAACTTAAATACGCGAAATAAGAATATTTACAAACGCAACATGATGTTGGTTGTAAATATTTTGGGAAAACATACACAAATCCCTCACGCGTTAGCATCAATGTTGTTATTCATATTATTATGTATTGTATACTCCAACACGTATCTTTATAGAATTCTTTATGTACGGCAATGTATTTTTTTTTAGATTTATGCCTCGCCTTACATTTTTTATTTGAGTGAAAATTTATTGAAAAACAAGTTTTAAGGAGAATATATTATTTTCGTATTCCATAACACGAACTGTCATAGCGAACGGTACTTTGTGTTTCATAATATTATGTTTGACTCGTGTTGCAACTTTGAGACTTGAGCCAGTTCGCGGGATGGATTCTTGTATGCGTTTCTTATTAGAAAATCCGTATCGCCGACATTTTTTTCTTTTACACAAACTTTGACGGTTAAACGATCAATAACATGTAATTATATGCCGCAAAGTCGTTTGTCGTTCTCCTGGGTTTTTTTTATTTTTGGTTTTAGTTTTGCATTTGACATTTTTCATATTATTTCACAATTTGCTTTCGACATCACAACAGTCTCGTGTGCGCCAAAACGGTAAACACACATTTTTCAATCTTGCATACAGCACCGGAGACGTGTTTTTAATTGAGACAATCAATTATTTGAACAGGCTAGTCTGTTTTGAAAGCCGTTGGCGCTTAAACGATACAACAAAAGTTTTCTAATTAACAACGGTGACTGTAAACAACACAATAGAGTAATGCACGATTTTCGGATTAACCAAGGTGCGTTGAGTAGGTACTAATTATTGTCGCTCGACTACACTGCACGTCGGTGTGTTCAGTATTTGAATAACCGCATATTTGATAACCACAATGACGGCAGCTAGTATAGTGTTTGTGTGTGTGTG